AAACCTGGGTAAAATTGAAGTTTTAAGATACTTTGGTAATATACATATATTTTTTCTCAAAGCATTATAAGTGATGTTATTATTTTTAACTAACCAGAATATTTCCTGTTTTCACAGAAGATTATTTCAAAGCTCAGGACAGAACTCTCAAGCACCATTAGGATTCCTTACAATTGCTGAGAAACTCCCTTTGAGAAATAGCCAATATTAACATGTACTGCTAACTGAACTACAAATATTAATACCTAAGTGGTCTCAAATGACTCAGAATAAGGTACTAATAGATTAACTTTAAAAATTATGGGCAGAATAGTTGGGTACAGATAAACTAAGCCTTTTCAATTGAGAATTTCAGAAGATGAAAAAGAACTTCCACAAGAGAAGACAGGTAACTGTACATGGAAGGAGCTGAGATTTCTAAAGTTGCCCAAATTTTTTATTTTTAAAAGTATGTATAAATAAAAGATATAATTTTGAAGCCAAAAACTTGGAAACAATTTTTTCTTGGTTTATAGGCTAAATGTAAGATATTCCTACCTTTTGACATTCAAAGTCATTATACTTTCAATTGGTCTGCTTTTTGGTCCACCTGGTGGATGGAAAATCTTACCATCTTTGCTGGAAATCTTTGACAATTTAACCACATAAGGGTCAGCAGAATGTGCTGGGTAAGGGTCAAATGTTCCTGCCTTCATTCCACCAGGCTACAAATAAAAATGAGACAATTTAATGTAGTTTTGTAAAAGGCTTCTACAAAATTAGGTTGTGAAAAAGTTCATACATATTTTTGTAGTCGATGGAGTCAGTTTTACACTTACAGAAAGTTGCTTATACTGTTTAATTCAAATAGCAGCAAAGGTTCTCTCTACCACCGATTCTATAGGGTCAAAACCCTAATTTCAAAATTTCTCTATAAAAATGAAAATGTTTATAGTGAGGTAATATTCTAAACTATTGCCAAGCAGTGATATTTTAGTGAGGGCTTACCAGACGAGGCTATGACCTAGTTAGGGGAGTGAGCCTATTACTGAGGGAATGAGACCTAGGTCAGATGTATTTTGATAGGGAACAGGGAACAAGGAGCCTGGCACAACATGAATTTACTAAATGCCAGTCAATGATGGCGAAGATATTTTTTAAAAAATTAGCAATAGCACATAGAAACAGAAGTGAGAAGAAAATGTGATTTACTTTATACTTCTCTTACAGTCTATTAAAATGAGAATTTTGATTTGATAAAGATGGCATTTCAAAGCAGTGGTATTAAAAATGAATTATGGGCCGGGCGCGGTGGCTCACGCCTGTAATCCTAGCTCTCTGGGAGGCCGAGG